GCACCAGCCCAGCACGGGATAAAAGGCCTCCCGCCCTGGGCTCCACATCCACAGCCTGCTCAGCTCAGCCTCCTCCTGCCTCCTCTGCACCCGGTGAGTGTCTGCGAGGGGACGGGGCCTCGGCCGCGGGGCTGGGAAGACGGGCTCAGGTCTGAATGGAACCAGCGGGGAGAGGCCCACTGTGGGCAGCGGTGCGGGGAGGGCGCTGGTGAGGGGGGAGCCGCGGAGGGGGGCCGTGAACCCCAAAGCCACAGGCCCTCCGCGTTCCTTCCCACTCTGTTCCGAGGACGCTGTCGGGGACGCACACGGGCCCAGCCGACATCCTGGGAGGTGCTTTATCCACACGCACGTGTCCCCTCCGTGCTCCCGGTTGTCCCCGACAGAGCTGGGCTCAGAAAGCAGCCAGGTCACGGGGACGAGTGTGTGACAAACCTGCGGTGGGGGGAGAAGCGGCGCTGCCGAGGCTTCTGTGCTCAGAATGTTTCTTGTACTTGTTCAAGGTCAAGTTCCCGCCGAGATGTCCTGCCAGCAGAACCAGCAGCAGTGCCAGCCCCCGCCCAAGTGCGTCACCCCCAAGTGCCCCCCAAAGAGCCCAGCGCAGTGTCTGCCTGCGGCCCCCTCCGCCTGTGCTCCCAGCTCCGAGGGCGGCTGCTGCCTGGGCCACCACAGGCACCGCAGGTCCCACCGGTGCCGTCGCCAGAGCTCTGACTCCTGTGACACCGGCTATGGTCCGCAGTCCGGCGGCTCGGGCTGTGGCCAGGGCTCAGGGGGCTGCTGCTGACCTGGGCTCCGATGCTGGGACAAGCGACTTAGAGGAAGTTGAGTTCCAGGGAGTGTCCTCTGCCAGCATGTTCCCTCCCAGCGCCCCCACCTCCGTGCGTTTGGCCAACGCCCAGATGTTTTTGGAAAGGACTGAGTATCCCTCAGGCCCTCCTACCCATCCTCCGGGCCCCAGAGACGCCCCAAGATCTGCCAGAGCCTGCAACATCTGCCCCATCAACTCTGTGTCTGACCCTGTGAATAAATAAAGTGTCTGTGTCCCCAGCATCACGTGCCTCGTTGACTGTGCTCTGGGAGCCTCTGCTCCCCCAGGTCGCTCCGGCCACCACTGCCTTGTGGAGGAGACGGCTCCTGCCTCTAGCCAGAAAAAAGTGCCAGTTCCGTTTGCCCCGAGGGGCGGAAGGAAGACGTGTGTCGGGTGGGAGAGAGGAGGGGGACCGGTTTCCACCCCACACCCACCGAAGGGACTATGTCCCCGGAACGTGGTGTGGCCATCGGTCTGGCCCGCGCCCTGGACCCTGCAGGGAGGTGACTCTCAGCGTCAGAGGGGGTGTTCCAGGGTCCCCAGCTGAGAGACAGGGGACGGGGCAGCAGAGCACCCCAAACAAGGACAAAGGCTATCGAGCGAGCAGGAGAGGAAAGGAATATCTCGGGGGGTGACCAGCGACTCGGTTCCTTCCGTGAGGATCTGGGGCCGCCGCGGTGCGGGTTAAAGCCTCAGAGGTTGTGGGGACAGAGGGGACAGGGCGGGGGCGCGAGCTCCGGGCGTGAGCGTCTGGCGGGAGGAAATTGGGCCGAAGAGAAAAGTGGATGTGAGAGATGGTGCTGGTTTCCAGAGCCAGCGTAATCGGAAGGCCCAGCACGTGCCCAGCGCCTCCAGCGAGCCAGGCCCGGCGCCCGCTGCTCCGCGGCGGCTCAGCTCATCCTCCCGCCAGCCCCGGTGTGCGCGCCTCCCCACCGCGCCTTCGGACACCCCAGGT